GTTCTAGGTTAAGCCTGCAGCCTTAATAGAGATTGTACAAATGTGCTTTACACAATTGATGTATGTATGGATTGTGATAAGAGTTGTATGAGCCTAATAAATTTTTTTTTTTTAAAGCCAATGACATACAAAATAAAAAATAAAATAAAATTTTTTAAAGAAAGAAAATGTTTCATTGCAAGAATAAGTAATATTCTAGGTTAAGCCTGCAGCCTTAATAGAGATTGGATCAGAGCCCTTAACCAGTTTCAAAAATAAGATCTATATATAAGTCTGTTGCATTTCTTTATACTAGTAAGAAAATGGAAATACAATCTTCTGAAATTCAAAAAGCAATAAAATAATTGTTACAAAGGAAGAACTCTTAAGGAAACCTAGGAAAGCCTTTATACTGAAAAGCATGAAGTTTTATTGAAAAAAGCCAATTTGCCCTAAATTGTTCCATATGCAATTATTAAAGGGGCGGGGGGAACCTCAATTTTTTTGAATGTGAGATTATTCTATTGAAAGTTCAAAAGAAAAAATTTAATTATAGTTCCAAGATCCAAGAATAACCTATATATTCTCTTCTATTTTATTGGCCTATAATGTATTTTTTTACATTTTTCAAATGAGATGATTTATGTATATATAAAATTGCCAGTGTTCCTCTCAAAATCTAGATCCAGTTGTTTTTACTTTGAGGAATATGGAATTCACCAATTCTTCTGCGTTCCCTACAAGATACATTTTGTATTCCCTCAAATATAAATTCAGTTTATTATTCGCAATCTGAGTTTTGCTAGGAAGAATCTTTTAAATGTTTAAGTAAAGACAGGTATGTGTGGTGGTGGTGGTGGTGAAGAGCCCTGTGCTTAGAAATGGGACACGTGGAAAATTAAAGCGTGTTATTGGTACCATCTGTGCTACTTTGGTGTGCTCGTAGGATTAAAGAGAACATTGATTGTGTTCCTGCCAAGTTCAGCATTATGCATAATTGGCCATTATGATACTGTGTTAGGCAGGGTTCTCTAGACAAACAAACCCAGGACACAGGATTTTATATATATGAACAGGTTTATGCAGCGAGAAGTATATAACAGCAAATTAGTCCACAGATGACTCAGTCCAACTCACTTTTGTGGTACAGTTAATATACTGGAAATCCTTCAACTCACTGGGCTGCCAGGTCCAAGGTCAAGTAAGCAAACACTAGAGTTTTACTTCAGGCAAGGCAACACACAACTGGGTGGGTCAGCAACAGTCAGTACTTTGGGAGCTTAGCTAGTCAGGCCCTGATGGGATCTGTAACTTAAGCAGGGAAACAGGATCCACCAGCCTCCAGCTCAAGTGATGTACGCACTAGCAGCATTGCAAGCAGGTCTTGAAGGAGCCTCAAGCTGTGTGTGTGTGTGTGTGTGTGTGTGTGTGTGTGTGTGTGTGTGTGTCTTGTTCTCTCTCTCTCTGTGGGTTTGTTGATCCTTGCAGAGCCATTTATCTAGTTGCCCTCCAATCAAACTTTGACCTGATTAATCCCACATGTTCCTATTGGCCTAGTTGGCATAATAAACCTAACTATCACAGATACCATCTATCTAGAGTAGAAAATTGTCCAGCACCTAACAGTTCATGGGATACCCATTGTGAATGATGCGAAGGAAATGCTGTTTTAAGGGTCTAGAGCAGTCCTTATGGGGAGGTACAGTAAAACCTGGACATGGTGGAAAAATTAGTTACAGATGGGCCTGCTAACCACAAGGTCAGCAGTTCAAAACCACCAGCCAAACTTGAGAGAAAGATGAAACTTTCTACTCTCATGAAGAGTTTTATCGTCTCAGAAACCCATATGGGCAGCTATCCTCAGCCATTTAGGGTCACGTGAATGGAAATTAACTCAATGACAGTGAGTTCAGTTAGAGGATTGGTACAATTTTGATAGCTGATACCACCCCGGTAAGTAACAGAATGCTTAATACTAAAGTAAAGGTTGTTGATACTGAAAAGATAAAAGTTGGGAGGTTGGAAAGATAAGTTGTAGCCAATCTGGGCCTTGAATGCCATATTGAGAAGTCCAGATTCTACGAGTGGGCTTCAAAACATTAACATTCCATCATCTTTTGGAAAATACTTTTTTAGGCATATAATTCATATATAATTTAATCATTCAGTCATATCAAGAGTTGTGTAATTGTCACTACAATCAATTTCAAAACATTGTCTTCTCATACTCATTGTTATGTTAACTCCACATTCCCCAAACTCCCCTGCCATGCCCCAAAGTAATTCTTATCCCAGGTTCTGTCTCTTATCGATTTACCTATCTCGGATTTCATTTACAGATAATCATAAAAATGCAAATAGGTAGCAAACAGAAATAACAATAATGACAAAACAAAACAGGAAAACCTCACAAAGAAAGCAGAAAATACTAAAAACTGAAACAAGTTTTAAATAAGTCAGGAGAGAGATTACATGATTAGGTGCTATATTTTAACCTAACTCCATCTGCCATAATTGATTTTACAATGCTCTCTCTGATAACAAAGCTATTCACATCCCTGCTTGTTGGAGGGGTGTCAATAGAGGTTTAATCCATATGGGGGCTCTGCAAATGGGTTTGGGCTTCCACTGTCATCCATAGCCATCTGCAAAGTGGTTGTTCATAATTTAAGCTCTGACACTGTTTTAGAATTGGGTTTTATTTTATAGTCTTTGGATCACATAGACTGGTGTGCTTCTTCCATGTGGACTTAGCTGATGACACTGTTAGATTGCTGTTTGTTTTAAGACCCCAG